CACTAAAAAGATGAGGAAACAGGCTTGGAAGGCTTAAGCATCTTGCCCAAGACCACACAGTTAGCAATGGAAACAGAATCTGACCACAGGAATGGTGCCCTCCCCCATCCACGGGATCGATTTCCATGGATTCAGTTACCCGCAGTCAAGCACAGTCTGGAAGCAGATGGCCCTCCTTCTGGCTGTCATCAGTAGGTCAGTAGTAGCCTACCACCAAGTCTCAGTGCCTGTATCCTTCACCTCACTTCATCTCATCACATAGGTATTTTATGGTCTCACGTGCAAGAAGGCTGAATACAGTACAATACAGCCAGATATTTTGAGATAGAGAAATCACATTCACATAACTTTTATTACAGGATATTGTTATCTTTATGTTATTATTACTGTTGTTAATCTCTTATGGTGCCTAATGCATAAATTAAACTTTATCATAGGTATGTACAGTGCCTAATTTATATAAATTAAACTTTATTGTAGGTATATACGTATAGGAAAAAAACAGTATATACAGGGTTTGGTACTACCTGTGATTTCAGGTATCCACAGGGGTGTTGTGTGTCTTGGAATATATACCCCGCAGGTATGGGGGACCCAGTGCAGTTCGATTTCAAGCCGCAGACTTTCAACCACCAAGTTGTACTGTCACGGTCGGTGCGCGGTAATAAGCTTGCTGCCTGTGGCCAGCCTTTGGGCCTCAGCACCGCCAGCCGGCAGGTTTCACTGAGGACAGCTGCCTGGGTCGGGGCGGTGACTAGAGCAGGGACAGGAACACCCATCAGAACCAGCAGCACCATGTACAAATAGCTATTGTGTGCCGCCTTTTCCCCCTGACTTTTCTAAAAAAAAAAAAAAAAACAAAGGGCTCATTCCTAGTGCTGACTGATTTCCATAAGGGAATTAGGATGGCTGATTTTATATGCTTTCACTCTGTAGGTCAGTATTCCTCTTCCCACTATCACATGGGTAAGTGATCCTCTTCAAATTAATCCCAGCAATAATTGCTGCACGATTAGCATCCACAGACACCATGTTATATAGGAAGCGTGGGTTATTTTTTCCTGGCTTTTTGTTTTTTCAGATAAAGATGAAAAGGCCTTCCTTTTTTGCCTGTTTTCAGTCAAGGTAATAAGTGGATTATGATGTCAGAAAGCTTAAAGATTTCATTTCTTCTCTGCTTGACTCTGACTATCAAAAAGGCTTTTCATGGTCGACACACACATTTTGAAGTGTTGTGAGCATTGATGGGAATAGTAACTAATTGCATTTGACCTTTTCAAAGGGGAAAACAGAGCCTTCTTACAGTGACAACATTGTTACTGAATATTTACTATTTTATTCATATTTAGTTTAAAAACTACAGTTTAAAGAAGTTTGAAAAGGAAGGAAATAATGAACTAAAATGAACTGTTAGGCTAGGATCCTCTGGCATGTGTCCTTGGTGGTCCAAATCCTGAAGTCTCATCATATACTATGCTGGTGAAGAGCAGAGCGGGTCCCCTTCTTTTTGCTGGTGGGAGTCTAAATCGGTCCACTGCTGGGGAGGTAGTTTGGCAATATTTATCATATTTACAAATGCATGTATTCTTTGACTAAGGAATGATATTTTAATGAGTTTAGCCTACAAATAAACTCACATATGTTTGAAGTGAATTAAAATGAGGTTTTTTGTCATGATGCTGTTTATAATGACAAAAGCCTGAGGATAATGTAGTAGTTCTGCAGTAGGTGGCTAGATAAATTATGGTAGTCACATAATGCAGTGCTGCACAGGCATGAAACAAAATAATACATAAATCCTTTATGTTGCTGGTATGTAAAGTCCTACATTATTTCGTTTAAAAAAAGGTAAGTGAGCTGATGATGTGGTGCATATGCTATGCTGTCATTTGGAGCATAAAAGGGGGAAGTTGTATATGCATCGTTATTTATTCTTACATGCATAAAATATCTCTGACACAATGCAGAGAAATCCAGTAATACTTGTTACCCCTAAGAAGAGGCCCTAGTCAGTGTAGCACAGAGAAGACAAGCAGTGACTCTATAGCATCTTATTATGCTGATGGACAGTGACTATAATCGGGCATGTGGGGGGGACTTGATAATATGGATGGATGTTGTAACCACAGTGTTGCTCATGTGAAGCCTTCATAAGATTGTCTATCAGTGATACCTGAATAAGAAAAAAGAAAGTAAGAAAGAAGACCTAGTGACTAAAGGACAAGGAAGAAAAATTTGTCAATAACTTAATACAGTTCTATTTTTAACCATAGTCAATATTTACTAAGTTAAAAACATAAAGAAATGCCATATTTCATGTTTAGAAATTCCTCTAAAAAGACACCCCTTGCAATGCTGTTTATCATACTAAAAAGGGGGAGCAATCTGCATGTCAAATAACAGGATATTGGTTAAATAAAAACTTATCCTATTTAATATTGCTCTGATTTTATAAACTTCTGATATACCTCTGTTGCCTTTTTCTTTCCTGATGAAAGATGCTGCCTGATCATAATGGGATACCTCCAGCCTTCACATCTTTTTGGTGTTCCTTTTCTAGACCTTCCTCAACTGTTTATGTTTTCCTTTCTTTCTTCAATGATGGGTGGTAACACTTTTATTTTATTGGAGAAAGTAATGATGACTTTCACAGTAACACTAATTTAGGGCCAAGAAAAAAATAAGGGTAATCAAGTCAGTGAGCTTTTGGGGACATGTCTGCAGAACCCTTAATTGATTAAAACGTTAATACGATAGGCTGTTATTCAGGCCTTATTAGATAATCAGCCATAAAGAGAAATGTGTACTATTTTATATGGGTTGAAATAGCTTTTTTCTTCTCTGATTCTATAATTCTAAATTAGTTTTTTATTGGAATATACCATATAGTCTCTTGATCCCTTAAATGCATTCTAGAAAGTGACTTTATCTTGCTATATTGTTATTAGCCAAAGTCCGGCAATCATTAGTGTTATTTGACACATGAACTTGGACAGAACATGTTCCTATGCTTTATCTTCACAGTTTTTCTTCCCACTAAAATAAGATAGCAGGACGTTGAGCCCTTAGAATGGTCTTGGGCATGCAAAACATCATAATTATATTTGCATGTGATACATAATTTGTATTTTACCATGCATTTACTAATACTATTGTAGTGTTCGCCTTACCTCCATAGTATTCTGGAGTTGTGATGAAAAATTTTAAAAGTCAGCAGACTATTGCTGGTCTGTGGTAAAGTTTTTACCTTTCCATGGCAATGTAAGAGGAAAAAATTAAGAAAATGTAGGGGATTGTTTTTTTAAGTTTGTGTATTGAATTTAAAGGATTCATCCTAATTCTGAAATTAGGATCTTCCATTTTTAAGATGAATGTCATGATAATCTTCTTCATTGAAATTGTAGATGATCAGATTTTTAATTTCATTTTACAGGTTTGTAAAATCTATTCCTCTAGCAGATGAAAGAAAGATAAATCTGTCACTAATCATGTAAGCTTTGAAATTATTCAAGACTGGACTCACCGTGATGCCTGTAACATACAACACCTGTGTCCATCAATTTTAAATATTGGGGATCCCAATAGATTGTTGTTTTAGCTCAGGCTATCATAACAAAATACCATAGGCTGAGGGGCTTAAGCCACAGACATTTACTTTCCAGTTCTAGATGCTGGAAGTCCAAGGTCAGGGTGCCAGCCTGCTTGGGTTCTATGAAGGCCCTCTTCCTGAACTGCAGACAGTCTCCTTGTTTCCTTACGTGGTAGAGAGAAAGAAAGCAAGTTCTCTGTGTCTCTTCATATAAGGGCACTAATTCCATCTCATGACTTAATTGAACCCTTATTATCTCCTACAGACCCCATCTCCAAATACCATCACAGTGGGTGTTAGGACTGTAACATATGAATTTTGGAAGAACACAGACATCCAGTCCATAGCAACGGTTGTTATGGGGTTAGGATGATGTTAGGCCAGGGATCCAGGAAGATTCAAATCTGTTCTTGGTTAAGGCTACGCCTAAATTTGGGGAACAATGGAAAAACAATACAAATATCACTATTACTAACTGAGGTTTTGAAGGCTCAAACCCCAGGACAAAATTGATAAGCGAAGCAGTTAACACAGGAGAACTCATTTACCTAAGTTGGCTGGCTTGAATGATCTGCAACAGAGGTTAAAAACCACAGCCCTTGAGCCAAGAATGTCTATTACATTTCAAAGGGTTGAAACATATCGACAGAAGATTTAGTAACATGTAGAAATTATATGAAATTCATGTTTTAGTGTTCCTTCATAAAGTTTTATTGGGACACAGCCGTGCTCATTATGTACACATTGTCAACAGCTGCTTTCACACTACAATAGCAGAGTTGAATAGTGGCAACAAAGCCTATAATATTTATTATCTGACCCTTTAAAGTAAAAGTTTGCCAAAGCCTAATCCACAAGCAAAGCTGGCCAATGACTTGCTCTGCCTATTCCTAAGACTAAATCTTAGCTGAAAGTATCATTTCAGAAAGATGGAGGCTCATACCCATCAACACTAGAAGATATGTATTCAGAGACAGAGTGTTTACCCCAAAGTCTGGCATGAGCTGGTCTAGCGATTGTCCACTTCAAGTTGTCTAATGCCAGACCTAGCTGTTCCAAGAAAAAAAAAAACCAAGTGAGAAAGACAGATGGCTTTAGTGCAGATGGAAGTAGGAGAAAGAGCCTCAGTTAATATGCTGATGTTTCATCACTTCATCCCTTACAAATAGAGTTCAGAGTCCTGGGACTGGGCCCATCTAGATCAAGATTTGTCTTCCTTTGAGTCTTTACCCCTTGATTAATATTTATCTCTCAAGTCAAAGGAGAAGGGAGGAATGGAAGCTAAGAGTGGTACCCTTTCTAGAATTTAACATTAAATGGTGACATTGGTGGCACTGTTGTATCAGGCCACTTCCTTTGTTTCTGACTTGGTCTCGTTTTGTTTTCTCCCTCCATCCAAATACACACAAAGGTCATTTTAAAGGATGTGGACTCACTTCTCTACGTGGACACTGACGTTCTCTTTCTGAGACCTGTCGATGACATCTGGAAGCTTCTGAGGCAATTTAATTCCACCCAGCTTGCAGCCATGGCCCCTGAGCATGAAATCCCCAAGATTGGCTGGTATAGCCGCTTTGCCCGGCACCCTTTCTACGGCTCTGCAGGAGTTAATTCGGGAGTCATGTTAATGAATTTAACTCGTATAAGAAGTGCCCAGTTCAAGGTAAGGAAGTACTTAATATTTCTTTGTTAAAAAGCTAGGAATTTGCTTTTTCAACAGTGACTTTCCTGAAGTGTCAGTGTGGTGATTTTGGAAGTAGAGGAACCAGGAAAGAGAAATGTATTTGGGAAGTTATGAAATATTTGTTTGTTCAGGAAAAGCCCAGGTGATAATGGAATTTAAAGCTTCAGTAGAGTTACCATTCAAGAATATTATGTTACATTGCTCATTTCCATAATGTTTGAACTCTGTGTGTATCCAAGACTTCAAAAACCATGGAAAATTTCTTGGAATTACCCGAGGGATATATTTACATAAGTACACGGAGATATTTGTACAAGGCTGTTCATGGCCTCATCTTTTATCCTAATAAAGAACTGGAAAGAATGTAAATGAACATCAGTGGAGAAGCAGTCAAAAAAGAAAAAAGGATTCTCCTATTAAGAAGAATTAAGTCAGTCTGTAAGTGAGACACACAAGATATCTTAAAAATATTAGTGAAAAACTTAAAATGTAGCAAAGCACGATACCATAAGGCACCAGAGTGTGAGTGATCCTTTGTGTGCCTTAGAAATTTCCAGAAGACTACCTAAGAGACCATTAATTGTTAACTGTGGATACCTCTGGGTGAAGGGGGGATGGGAATGGTAGGAAGATAGAGGAAGAGTATTTCTACTTTTTTATTTTATACCTTTGTGTGCTGTTAGAATATTTAGTCTGTGAACAGGTTGCTTTTACTTTAAAATAAGTATTTTAAAACAAGGAGGAAGTGTTTTTCCTTAAGATACCTTAATTCTGCTATCTGTATTTTGTTCCTTCACTTCAGAGGCAATAATTGAGCGTAAAGTAGAGAGAGGTTCAATTCTAGGTACGGATTTCTGAGTGGAAACCATAGCCCCCTCTACCTGTTCCTGGTCCATCTGGCATCCGTGGGCACATGGGGCTAACCTCAACAATTTACAGCTCTAGTCTGTTTCGTCCTCTGCCTTGAGTCCAGCAGGACCCCCCTCTATTTGCTTCCTTCCTGGGGATGTTGGGAGAGTCAGTTTCTCTACATTGCTTTGCAGTGGACCAGATGTATTTGCTTTGCCTCAGCTGCTCTGATGGTGTTCTCTTTTCCAGAACAGCATGATTCCAACTGGCTTGGCTTGGGAGAACATGTTGTACCCTCTGTACCAGAAGTACAAGGATGCCATCACCTGGGGAGACCAGGATTTATTAAATATCATTTTTTATTTCAATCCAGGTAGGTTCTCTTTGGAGAATGCCATTCGTGTAGTAGTACACCCACCTCACCCCACAGAGCACATTCCGGCCTGGTCTGCTACTGACCACACTGAATGGTGTCTGTGTCCCTGTAAAGTGGGCCCTTTCCTCCACCCCCCAGGCATCTCACGGAGGCGGGGCCTCGCGCTGCGGACACAAAAGGCCAAGTGTTGAAACCTCAAACACTGGACTCCAGTTTTCAAGAATATCTTTTAGATGTTGCAATTTTAGATGACATTCTTCTAAGAAGTACAGTCAAACTAATGGGAGGCACAGAACTAAATGAAAACATTATAATCCAGGCATGAGGCCCTCCAGACCTGACAGTTGCTAGATTGAAGGGAACTGATTCTTGGGGTCCTTGCAGTGAAGTGACTTGTTTAGGTTAGAGCCTAGAATAAGGACTGTGACTCCCAAGTCCCTTTTTATGTTCATCTGGGGCAAAGGAGATTCTTCTTATATTAAGCTAGTGATTTGATGGAGTTGAGGGAAGAAGGGAGGTGAAGCTTTCTGGTCTGTATTTTTATATCGACATCTAAAACAACTGTAAAGTCCTTCTTTTCCTTCTTCTTTGCAAAACCTTATTCATGTCATCTGAATCAAAACCATGTCTTCTTCCCAAGAGAGATGTTGGGGAAAAAGCAGTCCTCATGCCAACTGACTGAGGTCTTTCCTTTGTCTCTAAAAAGCTGTGAAGTAGAGACTCCTCTTTGTAAAGACTTCCACTTGTGATTGCATGTACCCTTTTTCTCCCCCAAAACTCTGTAATAAAACCTAATCTCATGTCTTTGCATCCAAAAGAAAATCCTGGGGGAAAAAAAAAAGGTTCAGGCAGAGTTTCTGGGAGAAATTCCCAGGACTCATTCATCAGGTGAAGGGACTATCTTGGCTGTTCACTTGTGGTGTGTTTTAATCTGTTTTGTTCTGATAGTAACAGGGAATTTAAAGTCTGTCCGCCTCTTTTTGATTCTTAAGCAGATTTCTTCTTTATTCTAGATGTAGATGTATAGGTTAGGACTCTTGGCTGAAAACAGAAGACTCCCGGGGTTAGTCCAAGCACAAAGAATATGTTTTTATAAGCAAACAGGTATCCTGTAGACACAAGAACAGGAAGGCCACCAGGCTTAGCCCAGGACCTGAAGCAGGACAGGGAAAATGACAAGGACCCCAGGCTGGACTTCCTTTCTCCCACTGAGGCTGTTTATTCTTCCCTTCGTAGACTCTGTTTCTCTGCTCCTCAGGTCTCGAAGCAAAGTATTGAGGCTTCATCCACTAGGTCCAGCCACATGAAAAGACTAGCTGCACCCCAATTCCAAACTCACAGGAAGAGAATCAAACGGTTCCTGCATCTGTCAGCTAGACGAGAGCGTGGAGCTAGCAAAAAGGGCGGACCTCTCTTCTTAACTAAGTGCCAGGAGCTGTTCTAAACATAATCTTATTTAATCCCCACAGCTCTGAGAATATAATCCCCATTTTACAGACATAGATACCACAGGACAGAGAGTTAAAGACTTTGTAGCATTGCTAACGAGCACCTGAGCAGGGAGCAAATCCAGGCAGCTGCACCTCCAGCCCTATGTGTTTGGACAAGAGGGGAAGCTCTTGGGGGATACCCTAGAGACCGGGCAGACACCCCAAAATGTGTATCTCGCCACTGCATTGTTTCTATCCTTTAAATATTGCATTTTCTTCTCTGTTGTGTGGCTAGTACGATCTCCCATAGCCTCTGTCTGTCCATATTCTCAAACTGAGAAATTCAAAAGATTCACACATTTGCCTCCCCAGAAATCCTCTCAGCCTGTTGCAGATTATTTGAGGACATGAACAGTGAGTAAATAATACTTGGAGGCAGTCATAAGCAGCTTTGCAATTAGACGTGAGCCTCTTGTCTTTAACTGGTGCTGAAACCAGCTGAATTTAATGGCCTCTGCACCTCCCATCTCAGATCCACTGAGTATAAGAATACCCTAAAATAATGACAAAGTTGTCCTAAATCCTGGTTCTGAGCAGTACCAAGTGAATAACCAAGTTTTCTAGCTTTAGATGATCTACATAGGGGAGCCCCTTGATTGTTCTTTGTGTGGCATGCGTTTGATGTTCCTTTTTCATACATTATCCAGATACTTGATTAAACGTAAGATCTTTGAACTGAAATCCAGTGCTGTCACACTGAAAGTTTTTTCTTTGTTCATAGTGATTGTGAGCATTTTCTGTAAACCAGAAAACTATTTTTGAAAGAAAGATTGGTGACCTCTGTCTCTGGAAAGGAGAGGAAGACTGGCCCCCTACACAGGGGATAACATGCTTCTTGTGATGAGTCTTGGCATTGCCACGGGTGAAGCAATGCACATAAGACCTGAGCACATGCCTGGAATGTTGTTATGAGAGCCTCCTGTATCCAGTAACGCCACTTTTAAAAATGTGTTTGAAAGTCATTAGGATACAAATGTTTTTAAACTCATGCTCTGATGAGATAGTAAAGGCATGTGGGTGTGTAATTGCAGTGCGGGGTAACAGACTGACTCAAGAGGAGGCAGCTAAAGCCCACAGGTAGCTCAGCACTCAGGACATTTCCTGGCAGCTGAGCCAGCATAGCTTCTTCAAGGGGTGGAAGCCTGAACTCATATCTTTACAGGTGAGTTGGAGTCAAGAGCAGAGTTCTATAAAAAGGGTAAATATGACACGGGTCATAAGAGATCCCTATGGAGAAAGATGTGCTTTGATCAATGTGTTTAAGGTTTTTAGGGAATATAATCTCACTCAGAGCAACTAAGTAAAGAACCAGAGGGTGGTCCCAGGAACATCACACCAGGCCTCATGAGAACTAGCTCTAGATAGCTGCTGAGGGCCAAAGCTGATTTCTGCATCCCTCAGGGGCCCCACGATCTCTGTCATCTTTGCTTTTCTCCATGCCTATCTGATTCCACTCTCAGCTTTCTCTGTATGCACATGGCCTACCCCTGAGTCAACACAACCTTACAAGCCCCTAGCCAATGATGATGCATGTTTGGTAACAGGCCCATATGTTTCCTAATTCAATTTCTTGCAAAAAAGAGAGAAAGAGAGAGAGTGTATGCAATTGGCCTGGCCCAGCCTATGAAGCCCAGCTATAAATCAGTTCTCTTTGGAGAGGGAGACTAACCTTGATGCAATCTTCAGGGGCCAGAGGAACAAGGTCGTGTCATTTTCCTTCCTTGCCCACAGCCCACTTTTATAGAAATTGCCCCTGAAGAAAGGAAATGAAACCAGCCAAGTATAGATGACAAGTCAGGGCATCGAGCAGGAATAGAAACAGTAGGATTCCATCCACAGGGAGAGAAAAGAGCTGAATGCCCATGATTGCCATAGATTGCCTGCAGACTATACATATGGCATGATGCTAGGGGCCTGAGAGGGGCTTGATGGGACCCCAGGGAGCAGGACACACAGTCACATGGGACAAGCTTCTTCAGTGGCCCAATCAGGGCCTTGCTGTCATCCTGCTGGGCCCCCTGGAGCTCTGCACTTGCGTGTGCAACACTATATACTCAGCCCACCCAAAGCCCCCAGCAGCTGGCAGTCATGAGTGTGAGTGGGGTTGATGGACCCAATTATTTGATATTAGCACTGTTCTGGGAAACTGCTAACAAATCACTGTTTTGGGAATCTGGGAAGTTCATGAGCTCAGACGTAAAGCATAAGAATGAAGACTGTGGTATCATTTGGAGAAGGGGTTGTGTCACAGCACAAGGCTTTACTGCCTTAAATGGAGTTGGTCGTCAGAGGTGTTGATTGGTTGAATGAATGGAATTCAGAGAATGAAATGGAAGAGGAAGACCACAGCAAGCAAAGCAGGGAGAGAAAGGAGAGAGCAGAAAGATACATGGGGTGGAATAAGCTGTAAGGTTTCATTCACGTGTTCATTCAGCAGATATTTTGGGGCACCTAATATATGCCAGCCACAGACAGAAGAGACAAAGTTCCTGTTTTCATGAAACCTGCTGTTTATTTGGAAGAGGTGGTGGACTTCCAGAGCATAGCACCTATTCATTCAAAATCACAGATTGTGATAAATGCTATGAAGGAACATGAAGGGTTAAGAAAGATGATCAAGGCTTGAAGGAGAGGACAGCTTCTTTAGATTGTGTGATCAGGGAAGTCTTCTTAGAAGAATTAATTGCCTTTTTCTGGAACAAGGTGCATTATGGAAAAAGGAAGAAGAGGATGCTGGGAAAACTCATTTCCAGAATAAGACATTAAAAAACAAACAAACAGAGACTATTGATAATGCAATCAAACAGCGTCCATTCTGTTAACACAGTATTACAAGCAAGTAGCAAGCCTGTTGCATCATGAAGTTAAAATGATCAGGCATAATCTTAGAGACCCCCAACAGTATAAAATAATCAGGAATGCAAGAAGCAATCATTTCACACAGTACTTTACAAATAGTTAGGAGGGTCTGGAAATAAATGTAGACTCCTGAAGGGATCACTGAGAGATTTCATACACATAGATAATCAGTTAATGAGCTTCTTTTTCTATGCAAAATGCAGAAAAACTGCAACTACCCAGGTCTGAAGAGAGGTTGGGTTGAAAAAACATTCTACAATAAATTGCAGTGGTTTGAGGCTTTGGAGATTTGGAATTTTAAAACCACTCACTGTATTATTTCCTCAAGAGCAGAAAAATAGCCTGAACATTTCACCAGGCTGTCATTTTTAAACGTCAGATTTTGACAACCCTGATAATCTTGCTTAAAATAGATCCATTGATCATGTGCCAAATAACCACCATTCATCCACTGTTTCCGTTCATCACCTGATCTGCAAAGATTGGCCGTGTTCAGCCTACCCCATGATGTTGGTTTAGCCCCTCTCCTGCTCCTTCTCCCGTTACCCAAATGGATAACCATACAAAATGTACCTGGGAAGACACATGTGTTATTTGAAGCTGCTCACACCTGATTTCCCAGTCTTTTGGTAGGGGCACCCCAGCTTTCTCAGGGGATTGATTCTTCCCTTATTGCAATGCCCCAACTTCTGCAAAACCAGTCACACTGTGTCCTGGGAACCTGAGTCTGGGAATCCAAGAGCAGAAAGTAGCCAAGCCTGGTTCATCATGGCACTAGTGTTGAAAAGCTGCCATTAATTAGTCTCCACCCCCTAGATTTCAAGAGCTGCCCCACTTCCTGCCCCAGTTCAGCTTTACCTCTGATCTTATGAGCTACCCGTCTCTTTCCAAACGGAAGACTTTTTTTCTTTCTTTTTTCCTTTTTTTTTTTGGCTTCCCAAGCTAGAATCAAAGTTGGGTTACTTGCAAGCTAATACAGATTTATATGTCTTGAATATTTTAGGTCAGAGCAGTCTATTTATATGACAGTTTTGCTACCCTTCTCTCACCCTTTGAAGAGACTGAATTTGCCCCAGCAAAATCACATGGCTTATCTTTTCTAAAACAGAACTCTGATTCTTTTTCTCCTCCACAAATGCTCTTCCAGGCCTCTCTTTCTGACTGTCAAAATCCCATCCTTACTGTCTAAAGCTAAGCTTAAGTGGCACTTCATTGAAATGCCCTCCTTTCTATGAACACTGATAAAATGTATTCATTTTGACTGCCCTTTACACCATCTCCTGTACAAGAGTATCGGTTCACCAAGGACAGGAACAGTGCCTTATCATCCGGTGACCCCAGTGCCTTGCATGGTGTTGAACAGATACTTGCTCCGTTACATGCTCAATGTGTTTTACATTTCTTCCTCTGGCCACTCTGAAGGAGAGTGTAAAGATGTGCACTGATTTTTTTGGGAATCCAATTTCATATTCAAGGTTCAACAGCTGGGGTTCTTGGCTGGTCTTTTGCAGATCTGTAAATCCCTAAACTTGCAGGCAAATATTCTTATATCTACCCAGTTGTAGTTTTCCAAAGATGGATTCTGAAGCTTTCATTAGATTCTCAGAGAGATCTGTGATCCATGAAAGGTGAAGAATGACTGGCCGCCAGCGTGTCTTGAAGCAGTTGGAGTAAAACATTTATCACCTATGTGTAGTACATCAAGACCTCTATTGGGCCTGTTTAATTTTATGTGGTCACGTTTTATTCTTCCAGCAACCTTAATGACTAGTTCTTATTATAATCATAACAATAAGAATAATTCATACTGCTTATATTCATTGTGTGCTTTCTACTTATCAGTTGCTTATATATATATGAACCAAGTACTTATGTATATGAACTCATTTGATACTCCCCAAAATCCTCTTGGACAAGTGATATGTACAATTCTCCCCTACTTTACAGATGATAAAACTGAGGCCCACAAAAATTATGTAATTTTCTTGAATCCATGCAGCTAGTGGCAACGTTCCTTCAGACCCAACAGGTTGACTACAGAGTTTGCTCTCTTAAGCACTCTGCTATTAGGCCTCAGTTCACATGTAGTAAAGCTGGAATTCAAACCTAGATAATGAATAGCTGTTGATTCACTCAGTGTATTTATAATCCCAGAGATGGGTTCTTGGCTAATTCATTCAGCAGAGAACAGTAGCAGGTCTTTAAGCCAGGACTGCAAATACAAATACTCATGCAGGTGTCATAAATGAGCTGTGTGACCCATGGAGTGACAAAAGGTAAAAACTGATCTGGAATCAGACACAATTCAAAAGCACAAAAGGACTTTTAGATATTTTCGCTTGTATAATATTCACATCCACCCTCTGCACTTATGTGCAGAAAGTCCCATAGCTAATACAGCAGTTGGGATTCAAACCTAGAGCACTATGCTCTCCTATGGAGTATGTATATATTATGTATCTCCTAAGCTATGGGTGTGGAGGTGAATGCAAATAAGAGAAACATCAGGTGGGATGGAGTCCTCCTGAGAAAAGAAAGATCTTGTCATGTGTTGTGAACGGTTAGGGATTAGAAGGTTCCTGGATGTCACTGTGGCCTGTAATGACTGAGTGGAAGAAATGGTAAACACAGTCTGCCAGAGGGGATGCCTGCCGATCTGTTTATTCTTTGTGACCTACTTATACTTTGCCTTCCATCTTGAAGCTTTCTGTGAGTTAATTGCTAAGCCATGATCCTCTCCATGAAAAGGGCTGCCATCAACCAAATCAACAAGCACAGCTTTAAGGTGCTTTTCTGACCAGGATAACAGATTTATTTATTTTTTTTGAGAGGGCATCTCTCATATTTATTGATCAAATGGTTGTTAACAACAATAAAATTCTGTATAGGGGGGGTCTATGCTCAATGCACATTCATTAATCCATCTCAAGCCTAATTCTCGTCAGCCTCCAATCTTCTGAAGCATAACGAACAAGTTCTTACATGGTGAACGAATTCTTACATAGTGAATAAGTTCTTACATGGTGAACAGTACAAGGGCATTCATCACAGAAACTTTCGGTTTTGATCATGCAATATGACCTATAAACCATCAGGTCAAATATGAATATTCATTTGATTTTTGTACTTGATTTATATGTTGATCCCACATTTCTCCTATTATTATTATTATTTTTATTTTTAATAAAATGCTGAAGTGGTAGGTAGATGCAAGATAAAGGTAGAAAACATAGTTTAGTGCTGTAAGAAGGCAAATGTAGATGATCAGATGATCAGGTGTGTGCCTATGGACTAAGTATTAATCCAGGCTAGACAAGGGCAGCAAGACATCCACGGATGCAGAAGATTTCTCTCAAAGCAGGGGGGGTGAGGTTCTGAGCCTCACCTCTGTTGATCCCCAATTTCTCACCTGATGGCCCCCCTGCGACTGTGCCTGTCTTAGGTTGTTCCTCCCTTGAGGAATCTTACCCGTCTCTGGCTAACCAGTCATCTTCCGGGGCCATACAGGGAAATGTAAAGTTGGTAAGTGAGAGAGAAGCCATATTGTTTGAAAAGGTTAGCTTTTTACTTCTTTGCAGATTTATGCCCTGTGGCTTCTATGCCCAGCACTTGTCTCGAGGTATCTTTACCACCTGGAGGAATTATGATGCTCAGTAAATTCGATATGAGGCACGAATTCTATTTAAGGGTTGTAATTAGGAAGGAAGAAGAAAAGCTATAGAGGTAGCATATGGAAGAAAACATGGGAGGATTGATTATTTCTTTAACATATCTTCTTGTAGAGTACCTTCAGCATGTATAGGTTTTAAACTACTAACTAACTTGCGCACACATATTAACATAATAGGAATACGGTGACATAAACAAAGCAAATCTATAATTACCAGCCACAGGATAACAGATTTGCTCTCACATTCTGCTGTGCTCTCCCGTGGGGCCCTTGGCCTGATCACCGATTCACAAAGACTTTTGATGGACACTCCTCAACCCAGGCCCTTAAAGGCATCAAGCTAAGGGGCCAGAAAGCTCAGGGAAGGAGGGGGGTCATGGACTTACCACTAAATCTGTAACCCTAGTCACCAAGAGCTAATTCTCTCAGTTCAACAGGATGAGAGCAGAGTTTCTGGAGTTCGGCACAAGTACTATGGGGCTGTCCTGTGCACTGTAGGATGTTTGGAATATTCCTGGTGTCTATCTACCCACTAGATGCCAGTGGCAGCCTCCCCCATGTGTGACAACCAAGGTCTCCCTCCAAACATAGCCAGATGGCCCCGTGGGGAGGAGGTAACATCAACCAGCTGGGAACCACTGGACTAGAGATACAAATACACACGAGTACTGCACATGCTCCCTAGTGTATATGGTCTCCTTGAAACAGGGTCTTTTCTCTTTATTTTTTCCTTTGGTTTTTCCCTTTTGCCGTTGTAGTTTTGTGTTTGTTTATTTTTCTTTTGTTTTGATTTTGTTGTTTGGTTGGCTTTGATTCCAAAGAGGAATCTTTGCTTCAATCCTGACTCCTATTTTTCAAGGCTGTCCATTTTGCAAAACCTTCCCAAGGAGCTGATTGTAACTGCTAATACTCTTGACTGCCACCATTGTGCTCTGGCATTCTGCGAAGCATTTTACATGTGTTTTTAAAACTTAATCATCAAAATAAAAAGGAGGTCCTCTAAGTCCCGTCTTCCAGATGAGGGCAGTGAAGCCCAGAGTGGCTGAGTCACGGGACCTTGGGTGTAATGATTTTGAGTGAGAGAGCTGGGATTCAGACTCACGCTGTTTGCTGCCCTTGGTTGCCTTCTTGTCCATGATGCTATATGCCCTCCCTTTTTTGGGGTGGAACCTACAACATCACTAATGTGTGCCCGTTCACTTCCTGATCTCAGAATACTGACAAATGTGGTGAAATTGGGGCCATGAGCCACAATGGCGCTCACATGCATTGAAATCCTGTGTGGTGTGCAGTTAATGGAGACCTGGTTTGAGCATCAGCAGTACAGACAAGAGCTGGCTCTGACTGTGCACATGTCTTTCTCCTGTCACCGCCAGAGCGTCTATACGTGTTCCCCTGCCAGTGGAACTACCGTCCTGACCACTGCATGTACGGAAGCAACTGCAGAGAAGCTGAGCGTGAAGGTGTGTCTGTTCTGCACGGGAACCGAGGTGTCTACCATGACAATAAGCAGCCGGTTTTCAAAGCGCTCTATGAAGCAATACGCGACGTAAGTGTGTCCTTGCCACCATCCAGCAGACACAGGCTTATCAGCATGAAGCAGTTCAGGCGCTTTGGTCGCCTGTCCCTTTGAAGTCTGAGTAAGTCCCGGAAGCACCGAGTTACAGAGTTTCCCCCAAACTCAGTCACTCCATTTCACCAAACCCACTTGCCCTCCAATACTCTACCTTATCCACTCTTTACTTAATACTCCCAAGTAAGTCACTCAATTTTTTTTTTTGTCCTTAAATAAATTCCCCTAAGGAGAAATTCCATATCAGAATGAGAAACCCTGGGCCATCTGCCTTCATAGAGGGTAGGGTGCTGGGGTAAAGATAATACAAGAACAACACCATACCATTCAGCTCAAGCTTGGTGTCCTGTCCAGTTGCCAGCTCCACCCCGTCAAACAATCAGATGGGGAAGTAGTCAAGTGGGGCCAGGAATCAAACCCAAAGTAACAACCAAGTCTTTATTTATGTACAGCAACAGCGTAAGCAAGAGGCAAAAAGCGGCGCCAGCTCCCCCCATGTGCATTTTTACCCCCCAAAGGATGCTAGGTGAGGGTCAAGGGGATGCAGCACAGAGGCAGGAATCATCTCGAGGCTCCTGCATCTAGGCCAGGAGAAGGGGCAGGAAGGAGGGCGAAGAGAGGAGTGCCGAGGGATCTCTCTCTACCCCCGGGGGCGTCTGGGAAGGGAATGCAGGTAGGCTTAAAGGGCGAAGCTCAAGGCCTTGCTACAGCTCCCTGGTGTGCGAGGGGGCGGCTGCCCCAGAGAGGCCTGCCAGGAGCCTGGCAGCTGCCTAGGCTTGAGTCTGAAGCATGCACATAGGATTCTGGCCTCATGGACTCAGGCCTTTCTCACTACTCTGAGGAGACCGATGAGCAAGTTTTAAGAAGCTGAAGACAGTTGTGAACTGCCTTGTAGCAGTTAAATGGGAAGGTGAAAGGCCCTTACTTTGTGGCCCACCACCTAAAATCATATCAAATACTGCTTGCTCATACCCTGCACCCCATACTTCGGGAAACATTGCATTGCACACTGCCTTTTACCTTGGGGTTACTGGGTGAAAGTTAGAAACCATCACTTTTAGGGATTTCCCTTTTGAAATGGTAATTCCAAGACACAGAGCAGGGGTGGGCAAACTTGGACCCAATCTGGCTTGCGGCTTGTTTCTGGAAGACTCGTGGACTAAGAATGGTTTTTTAAGTATTTGGAAAAAAATGAAAAGAAGAGGAATATTTCGTGACATGAGAAAGTTACATGAAATTCAGATTTTAGCATTCATACATAAAATCTAACGGAGACACAGAGACACCCACTCATATGCAGTGTGTGTGGCTGCTTTCAAGCCACAATGAAAGAGTCGTTGTGACAGACTGTATGGCCCACCAAGTCTAAAATATTTACTTCTAGCTCTTTACAGAAAACAATGCTGACCCGGACATAAAGTATGTAGACTTTGTTAGAGGTTTTCTTTTAAGACTAAAAACCTTACAGTCTCATGAATGGGCTTTGGTGGGAGTGAGGGAGGTAGTGTGACATAGTAATTCCTGTTTGTGCATATGATAATGAGCATTTGCTGAGGAGAGTTCCAGAGAATTCCAACACTGGAATTTCTGAAACTGTCTTCTGTTCAGGAAAAGAGTTTAGCAGCCGTGTAAGTCAACATCTCTTTCTTCTGCATTGCCCGCTGTTGGTATTCAAAGGCTAAGTGGTTTAATTACATGGAAAATTTGTTCTGTACTTAGTGATACCATCACATTTTGATATTTCAAACACTGACTTGCACAGGCAGACTCATTCAAGGAGTACAAATGTAAGTTAAATAAGCCTGGGCAGGTATATGTACCTAAGGGCCACTCTTGGGCTTCTTTTGTGATCCGTCAGCCCTGGTTTGGAACTGACCAACTGCCGATTCTTGAATTACAATGCGTCCTGTTTCTTTCCGGGGGATCAGAAGGAAGGCCAAGTAACTGTTTCATAACAATCCTGCCTAATACACTCAATATGTTCCTCAGTTGGGCCTAAAAAGACAATTTTTGTTCAAATGTTTCCATCAGCGTTGTCACTAACCCCATCCTGACACGTGAGTAAGTGGGGACAGAGTCCATCCCACCTTCCACAGCCCTGGCCCACAGTGCGGGAGTCACTGCTTGCCTGTGGGGATCAGCAGACCTGGGTTCAGGTGCCAGCTGTGTCCCTTTCTGGTAATTAGTCATTAACTCTGTTGTCTTGCCTTACTGGGCCTACATTTACTTATCTTGAACTGAAGATATAATATTACCTACCTCATAAAAGTGTTGTGAGAATTCAACAAAACAATGATTGTTAAACTTTTAGTCCAGCACCTGACATATGGTTGTACTCAATAATTAGTAGAAGTTGTTTTGATGGTAACGGTTTCACACCCCTGTCTTTCCCTCACTTGCCTGCATTTTCTTAACTTGCTCTCTGTCTACATATATTTTCTCTCTCACAATATATTTTTCTTTCTCCATTCGTCTCTCTCTGAAAGTGTTCTCCCTTTCCCCTTCCATTCCCTCTCCACCTCTCCCTCCTTCTCTCTCGGACAAACACACCTGTGTGTATGTGTTTGTCTCCTTCCATGACAACCCAGAGAAAGCCACCTGTCAGGCAGACATTCTGTCCATAGTTCTTTCACCATTATCCATGAAGAGCCTCTTTTATGCAGGAACAATTTGAAGTTGAAGGAACCCAGAAGTTAACAAGACTGACAAAGCTTGGTCCTCATGAAGCACATACGCTGGGTGGGAAAGCCAGATGATACTCACGTAAACAAAGAAAGAAAAATTCTGTCAGATAGTGAAAGATGTTAAAAGAGGACCAGAGCAGGGCGATGGCTGAGAGTCACAGGGGGAGAATGGCATTTATGAGGGTGGGTCCTGGGGTAGGCCTCCGAAAGCCTAGGACGTGATGGATGGAGGTGGAGGCTGTGGGGAGCCTGGGGAGACCTGCTAAGTGGGAGGACTCACCCCAGGAAAGTCGTTGAGGCAGGAATGAGTTTGGTTTGCCCCTAGAATAGGGTAGAAGCCAAGGTGGCCAGAGCTGGAATCTTATTTGCTTGCTGTGAGAAGCCCCTGCAGGAAAATGATATGCTCTGATTTACACTTTAAAAATATCACCTTGGTAACCCGGTGCAAAGCAGGTGTGTGAAACACAAAGGCTGTTAATGAGACTTATTGTCACCTACCAGGTGCAAGATGGGGCTGGCGCTCAGCTGGGTGGTAGTAGAAAGATGGGAAGAAGTGGCCACACTCAGGATGTGTTGTGGGGACAGACTTGACGGCACTTGATGGGTTGGATGAAGGATGTGGGGGAGAGTGAGCATCAGGACTGCCCGGTTTTGACCTATTCTGTTCCTATCACTGGGGATACATGGTGACAGTGGGACACCATGGTCTACGTTGTGCTGTACAAGAAAATGTGTCCCAAGCATGGTCTTGGACAGAACCTTCTTGTATTACGTAATGCATACTCTTCTTCTGGGAAGAAGCCTGCATTTTGGATAAACATGGTTAAGCAATATTTCTGACGAACTTTTAAAGGGATTAAGACTTGTTCTAGGAAAACAGGCACTTATCCACTTTGCTGTCAGCCAAGAGTAAACTGACCATTCACCATTCTTTTTTTCCCTTTTTTCCCCCCTCTACTCATTTTGTATAGAATATCCTTACCAGCAATGAAATCTTTGACCTAGTAGAGGCCTTTTCCCTTTCAACAAGATTATAATAAAACTTTGACACATGCTCAGAACTAGGTGGTCTGAAAGATTTATTTTGGAAAATACTGCTCACAGATGCATTCCATGAGAATACAAGAGAATTAAACAAAACGCAAAGGGGGCACCGATATTAAGTGGGAAAAAAAACAACTACCAATATTTGGTACTGAATTATTAAAATAAAGTTAATGGATGATAAATTTCACTAGTAATCGCTCAACTCTGGACTTCATGAGATGACCACAGATACACTCTAAAGTTTCTTCAATAAGATTGCAGCAAAGAAAATAAATATGAAGAACTCAGTGTTTTATTGCAGTAGATTTCAAGTATTTACTTGAGGCTTGCTTGTTATATATAGAATATATCCTGTCCTTGGAGATACACTTTGGTCTCAGATTGTAAGAGCTTTAGGGACCCAAATCAGTCATCCATGTTTTTCTTTTTAGAGGTAAAGAAACCAAGGCCCAGAGAGGTTAAGAGATCTGGGATTGCACAGGATTGAACCAGGATTTAAACCTCGGTCCTCGGAGGTCCTTTGCACTGTGTCTAAGAACATACAAAACTGTGCCTGCATGCTTACAGTAATTCCCTGTTTCGTTTCTTAGTAAAAGTTACTTGGATTTTAAATGGCATTTCAGTAACTAAAATTTTTCTTTTTTTTTTTTTTAATCCTCTTTCAGTTTCCCTTTCAAGACAATCTCTTTCAATCCATGTATTACCCACTTCAGCTGAAGTTTTTGGAGACTGTGCACACTTTATGTGGACGGATCCCACAAGTGTTTCTGAAGCAAATTGAGAAAACAATGAAAAGGGCTTACGAGAAACATGTCATCATCCATGTCGGCCCCAACCAGATGCACTAAATGTTTCACATTGTTGCAAGTCAATCAGGCATCCCACAAGGAAATACTCATCTTTAAGCAGCCTGGATCTCTTTTGTGTGAATATTTAATGGTGCTGTATGACAATTGAGTTTGAAAACCCAGTTAAATGTTGCTAAATTAGTTGCCTCTGAAAGAAACATGCTTTAATATTTTTCTAAAATGCTATTTATCTCTCTCTAGGTTACATTATTATTCATTTAACATTGTTCAAGCAGGTTGAGCTAGCTGAGAAAAGGAACTTTTGTGAGCCTTCCAATTCTTGTTAAGTGTCTGAGACAATGTTGGTGGCATCTGGCATGGTATTTTTTTTATCTAGTATTTCTGAGACTCTATGCAATTGATTCCCCCATACCCATGTTATAAAAGTAATATATGCTTGTAAAACAAATTTTAAAGACTTCTGGAGAACATAGGTCAGTGGGCCAGAATCAAGGTTAGATTAGCCATAATAATCCTACCAACCAGTGAAAAAAGATTTTTATTTTAATATAGCTCCTTCCAGCCCTTTCCCCCCACATCTATATTTATTTTGCTGATTGCCTTTTCCATTGTAAACACATATCTAAAATGGGTAGTTTGAATAAAAGCTGACCCTTATGCTGAGATTTTTATGTAGGAAACTAAAAAGTTAGTACTTCATTTGAAATACGTCTCATTCAGATTTCAGCAGTTGGGCAGTGTTAAAGGATGAACCACGTCTGGGGGTGTTTTTAAGAAAAATAATTTAGATTTGTGGGAGACTAAATCATAAGAAATTTCAGTTTAACCATAGCTTCTGAAAGGAAATTCAGTAATTGTATTAAACTAAGGGATCTGTTTAGCAAAGAGATGTGACTTTCTGTTTAACCACGGGCAAAACCATTTTATCTCTTACCTTAGCAGCTATGCCATCTTCCTTAAACTCTTGGGCATTAGGTGGAAATTAATCCACCTGCTTTTGGCCAACTTCGAAATTAGTGTGTACAAAATAGATAGCTCAGCTCATTCCATTGGCAAGAATATTAAGCTTCTTACCAGCCATAGAAAGGTCTCTTTAATTTTTTTTTTTCTTCTCTAAGGTTACCCAGAGGTTAGCCAAGGAACCAGGCAGGTCTTATCACCTGGCTACAGTAGAGGAAGTTCTATATTCTAGTCCCCCAAGGGATCTGACTTAATCTCTAGTTGCTTATGTAGCTGGTATCAGCATAAGGGCATTTTGCATAATGCTTTATTTATCTCAAAAAACTTGTTCATAAATGATCTCCTTGATGTTTGCAACTGCATAGTGAACTTAGTAGGGGCCTATTATCATCTCCATTGGGCAAATAAGGAAACTGGAGCACCAAGAATCAAACATACCCCATAGAATTGCTTTTCTATAAGACATACAGGTATGTATAAGGTGTGTTGTGTTTCACAGAGAAATTTTGGAAATAAAACTATTAAATACTTTTCATCATATATGGATAGCAATCTGAAAGGATCAAATGAATAATATCATTTTGTTAATGCAAATACAGTATCCTGCATATTGGAATTCAGTAGAATATCATAGATTATTTATCAGCAGAAAAAAGTCTTACCCTGAAAAAACATGGAAAAACCTCAGAGCTAAAAATAAATATGCAGATATCAATAGTGGTATACAGCACCATTATGGTAGTAACAAATTTTAATCTAAAATATTAGACTTTTTGATAAGTTGGGTGGCCTATGATTTGTTATTTTTGTTAAGGAAGTTGCCATTATGATGTGAAAGTCTTTGCTATTTTATATTTCTTCATTTCACCACTAAAGGTGACATCATTATTTTATATCTAAAGATTGTCAGACAATTGTTGGATTGTCTTTTGGGAGGGGGAAAATGTATCCTATACACCTATAAATAGGGTTTTGGTGAAAGGTGAAGGATGTGAATATGATTCCCTGATTTCTATTCCAGTTTTCTTTCTACTTGTTCAGCATGGCCAGTAAACCCCACAATGCCACTCAGATTTGTTAGTGGTTCACAGACCTTCAGAAGTGTCCCATTCCTGCACCCCTGCACACACACACCAAAAAATCTGCTGTAAAGACCTTGAATACAACAGCTCCTTTACTTTTATGACACCAGGTTTACCCACAACTCTCAGCTATTGGTTCTGATCCGAATATGCACAATAGGATTCAGAAACTCTAGGTGAGTGTGGTGGAGAATTTAGAGAAATTTTCTCTTCCAATCCCTGCTGCCTGATAATGGGTATTTTTCTATAGTTAGGATGTTTCCAGGAGGCAGTATTTTCTCTGCCTTTGGTAATTTCTAGAGAACTACTATACTAATGCCTTGAAATCTGGGGACCACAAATTTTAAGTCAGTGAACTCCTACAAGATGCAGCTGTGGTCTGAAGTTTGCCAGAAGTTGTATTGCTCTGTATGGCACATTGAATCTATATGGGAAGAATACAGTTCTCTCCTTCCTCCAATCCTGTCCTGTTCTCTCCTCTTCTTTCCTCCTTTTTTAAAAAAATTCTGTTTAATGCATATGATTACAGAGTTCCCATGGAAAATGAAATAACACTTCCTTATACAAAATGTGGCAATATTTTTGTATGCATTGAGAGGGAAGCTTTCAATAACTGGGTCACTAGAAATGCTGATGCTATTTTTCTTGCTGAGTTGTTTTTTTTCCCCAATATAAATCACAAATTGTGACTTACCTAGAAAATTCCAATGTTTAAAAAATTAACTGGCTCCAAGATCAGCTCCCGTTTTCCTTCAACTTCCAAAATGACAATTTAGCATTTAGGGTATAACATGCCCAAGTTTACATTTATTTAAAATTTCTGTTACATATTCAGTGCTTCCATTGCAAACTGTCATGACCTTTACTGAAGTTGCTATTGAAATGGATATTTATACGGATTCATGGAAGTTTGAGAGTATTTATCTTATTGTAATTATTGTGTTCATAAGGCAAGCAAACTGCACAAAACTTTATTCACAGTCACAAAATTGTGATCCAAAAATGAAATAATCACTCCAACCCTGAAGACAGGACAGCATTTGCAAATCAAGGATTATGTGTACATATTGCCTGACATTTATACAAAAAGAGATAAATTACGTGTGTTGGATAAACAAGCATGAACATGATTTCATAACTGAATTCAGAAATATGTTTAATATCATGGGCATACAAACCTTTATACCCTCATTGATAGTATGGTAAGCAATCCTCCTTACGTTTTTCTGTGTCTTGCCTACGTTTTCTTCATGCTCCTTTCCATTGTTGCCTCTCCCTTCCTGCTTTTGATGTAAGCTTCTGAATGGTACCAAGAGGTTGAGCATGGGTGGCAGAGTGACAGAACGTGGGGGTCTCTGTGCAGGTAGAAATAAGTTCTGATCCTTAGGTTGAATCTTTAGGATAAGAATTTTCCAAACATTAAAAAAATATCACACAACGCATAGACACATACACACACACACACACACACATGCACATATGTACACATCCCACATACCTTTTAAAGAGCCAGCCAGCACTTATTGTGTTCTGTGAACTGAAGAATTACAACTAGTGACATCCTAGGTCACATTATTTTGCAATTGCAGTGCTCGTATTTAAACCTGATGAGATCTCCCTGGCAAACAAATTTATCCTAGTTTTTGTCTGTCCCAGGTCAAAACTGGAAGTATTCTCTTGAGTCTTGAAGATAAAGCCCTTGTGTTTGTCTCACCATGTGCATGAACATGTAAGAATCAGGTGCAATTTCTGTTTCCTCAGTTTTACATGTTTGTGTGGTCACTGAGAAGTGTACCCATTGTTTATTGCTCCCAGGGGCATTTTTTATGTCAGAAAAGTTATTTTTTAGTCATTTTTCTTTGGAAAGAAGTGAGCATAAAAAAGAATTCCCCAAAGAAAAGAAATTATTACAGCAAATTAAAAGGGATATAAGTATTATGATTTAATTATTATCTTGTTTTTTTAAATGCCATCTCTTATACTTTTTTTTACATTAAAAGCTTTAAAAAAAGACTTGTCTTTTGGTGTTATTTTGGGAATGTGTTTCTTTTATAAGATTTCTAGTTTAAAAGTTTATAATATTAAATAATATCTAATTTCTTGCAACTGGTTAAGAAATATTTGGTTTAACAAGTAACTTAGCCTGTTTTTTTAAATCATTAAAAATTTGTTTATAAAAATACCACACTATAAATTATGCCATTTGATTTTAACAGGGTTTTGTGTTTGAGATACAAAGGAGAGAATTTGGGGAATATGAAAATTAGTTCTCCATATTCCTACATTTTATTTAGTGAAATTGAAACTGATTTGTTAGCTAGTAACACATATCAGAAATAACTGAGCTGTACCAAGAGTTTTGGGTGTGTATAAAGGGCTTTGCCCCTAATCATTAGTCTTTTTAAAATCAGCACAAGGTACTCCATTTATCTATAGTCCTGAGTTTCCTTATTATATTTTAAAACATTTCAGACTTCCTGCTTCCTTGCATAAGGCTGACTATGACCCTCCTGATAGATTGTTGCAGGAGTAAACACAAAAGCACAAAATTTCAAAAATGTTTAAAATCTGTGTTTGTGCTCCCTTACCTCCACTAAATAAATGGCTAATAGGGTTTTTTTCTTTCCTTTTCTTTTTTGAAGTATAGTTGATATACAATATGATATTTGTTTCAAGTATACAACATAGTGGTTCAACAGTTATCAACATTATAAAATGCTCACTAATGGATTTTTAAAGACTATCACTTTAAAGGCACGGCAACTTATTAGTCTGCCAAGGTGTCAGATGTTTACTTACCAGAAGTTGTAAGTCCAGAAAAAGAAAATCTTGGGGCAAAATATCTCTAAAATCCAAAATCAGTCATAGGGAGAAATAAAGTTTAAAATCTGTTTATTGCTTAAAAACTGCAATCCAGGGCTTTCTCTCTTTCCTGCTCCAGCAGAAGCAAAACCCACCCTTCCCCTCACCTCTCAGGTACAGATAAGCCCTCCCTTGCCCAGGTAATTACCCATTGATATGGAGATGAACTTCTCTCCACCTCTGAGGAATGATGCAAATGCCCTAAAGCCATACTTCTCTCCACCTCTGAATGCCTATTGATATGCATTCAGGAGAGATATTCTGGAAATATTAGAATTTTACCAACAGGCCACTCCTCCAGAAATCTCACCTTACAATTTACTCGTTCTCCCTCTTCCAACCAAACTAATGACATACAATGGCAACAACAATAAAATCATGATAATCCTCAAGCCAGAGGATTCAGCCTATGCAGATTAAGTAAATGTACTTTACAGCACAATCCGTCACTAAGCACAGAATAATGTTTCTACACTTGTTTACTCATTCCTAACAGCCATGCTACATTACTCACAAAACTTTTACCAAACGTTAGACAAAGGCAAGCCTCTCTTTAAGCATTTTTTTATTGACAACAGCAATACAATCATGATAATTCCCAAGCCAGAGGATTCGGCTAGGTTCAAAATCCCATGCAGATTAAGTCCAAAGCTCGTCCATTCCAGTCATCACACAGCAGCTGCAGCCAGGGGGGTGCATCCAGGACACAAGGACTGTAGAAGTAAATAACCGTGATTTTGGGGTGTCACTTTGCTGTTATTCCAGGAATACACTGGAAGCCAGCTTCCAGGCCTTTTCCCCACAGTGCCAGAAGAGCCAGCCATCTCTGGTCCATGTGTCGAAATGTCCAGGGCCACATCCATTTTATTCCTAATTGCTGCACCCATCCTTGCAACGCATGTTCAATAAAGTGGGTGCCTTGATCACCCTCAATCACCAGTGACCTTTCATAGGCTGCAAGAGGTGCTGTAGGCCCCTCTTGGTGGTTTGCCGATCTGCCCAACGTGCAGGGTACTCCTTCTGGGCTTGGCTGACTTCTTCAAAAGTCAATGGCAAGCCCCACTGATGGGCCCACGTTGTCTTTTGCCCCGCATGCAACAAACACTGATGTAGCCATTGGGCCACATCAGAGGCAGGCTTTCCTTCTAGCCAGTGCACCTGGGCCAGTGCATCCTCTTAATTATTCCCTGGGATACCAAAGGCAAATGGCCAGTCCCATGATATACAGTAGGTGTCTGTGCCACACCACTTTGTGGCCTTTGGGTCCAGTCTCTCACCCACCCCACGATGGGATAGGTGGTTATTACCTTGGTCAGAGCTGTTCCGGCGATGGGCTCTATAGCCAGCAAGGCGTGGTTCACAGCAGCCAGTTGCTTCTCTATCAAGGTGACCCAGACCTCTGCTCCTTGCTGTAGTTGTAACCAGGCTCCGTCCTGCAGCAGGAGCAGCAGCAGTGGCAGAAGCAGTAGCCTTAGGTTCGGGCCATGGGCTGGGGTTAACACGGCCAGCAGTGGTGATGGTGCCTCCATGACCACACGAGTGTAGACACATTTCCCTTGGCGTGAGTGCCACTTCTCCCCATCATTTCTAGGGGAAGCCCTCTCAAAAGTCGCACCCATTATGACAGATTTCAGGTTCAGAGGAATCCTGTCGACTAAAGCCAGCTTTAAGTCTGGAGGGAGAAAATCCCAGGGCAAAATACCTCTAAAAACCAAAATCAGTCAAAGGGAGAAATGAAGTTTAAAATCCATTTATTGCTTACAAATGCAGTCCGGGGCCTTCTCTTTCCCACTCCAGCAGAAACAAAACCGGCCCTCCCCCTCACCTCTCAGGTATGGATAAGCCCTCCATTGCCCAGGTAATTACCCATTGATATGGAGATGAATTTCTCTCCACCTCTGAATGACTACTGATATGCAGATGTACTAAAGCAGGCGAGATTATCTGGAAATATTACAATTTTACCCACAGAAGTATATTCAGCCTTCCTTGTGGATTTAGAAGAACATAGGTGGAAAAGATGGAGAACCCCTGGCCTGGGTACTTCCACCATTCCCAAAGCAATCCTGTTTCTGTTTGCTTCTTTATCAAATCCTTCAGCTCAAATAGTAGCTCTCCTGTCCCTTGTCATGATCTCATAATATTCCTTCTCCTTCTCCATTGTTCTATTAGTCAGTAAATGCCACCGACATCCACCTCCTGCCTTATTCCAGTCACCTGGCCATTGTTCGTCTCCTCCTTCTTCCTGATCACAAGTCACCCTCATCACTAAATCATCACTACCCTGATAAAACATCCCATT